CGCTCAACCTGAACGAGGCCCTGGCCGTCGTTCCCGCTGCCCGCCATCAGCTGCGGCGATAGCGGCCCCGCGGTGACCAAGACTCAGGCGCCGACCCACGCGGCAGGGGGAGGAGGAGGAGGCGGAGGAGGAGGAGGAGGCGGAGGAGGAGGGGGAGGAGGAGGAGGAGGAGGAGGAGGAGGAGGAAGAGGAGGACAAGGATGGAGGGGGAGGAGGAGGATGGAGGGGGAGGACGAGGAGTCGGAAACAATGGGTGCAAAGTCCGACAGCAGTTCCTGTGCATTCTGAGCAGGGTTCGCTGTCGGCGTCGCCGCGGTCGTTGTCCACTTGAGACAGAAAACCGCTTGCCCAACAGCGGCCGCTGTCGGTTTTTGAACAGCATGTGTTCTTGGGCATCGTAACCGTTTTCTTCGTACCCACTCTGGGCGTCCAAAGGTCCTATCCGATTCCGATCGTCCGACGATCCGGTGCGGCACGATGCGCTTGCACGGCGCTGCTGTGCATCCTGGCGCGGGCGATCCGGCTCGATCTCGGTGCCGAGCCGATGCAGCCCGAGCCGATATGCACGCTTCGATTCGGTCCGACTTGCCGATCCGATGCTGATTGATCCTACCCGAAGGCCGACGAAGTCCTCGCCACCGCGGGAGGAGCCACTCCGTGGGCTGCAGAACCCGCCGTGCACGGAGCCCGCCCGTCGTCTGCCGGGGAGGGCCGCAGCGCAGGCACGCCCCTCCTTCCAGCGCGCTGGGCCTCCCGGGAGCGTGCTGCACGTCGAGGTGGCCGATGTAGCGGCGGTGCCTCGGTGATGCGGCGCGAGCCTCCGACCCCGTCCCGTCGGACCCGATGCGGGAGGCCTCTGCAGATCCACCCCGGGCGGCGCCGGGGAACCCGCCCGTCTGCCTCGGAGGGCTCAGGGGCCAATCTTCCACCACCACCATCATAGGCAGGACGGGGGAGAAGGGAGGATGGGGGGTCCTCATCCCCCCTCCTCCTCCTCCTCCTCCTCCTCGCCCTCCTCCTCCTCCTCCTCCCCTCCTCTCCTCCCTCCTCCTCCTCCTCCTCCTCTCCCTCCCTCCCTCCCCTCCTCCTCCTCCTCTCTCCTCTCCTCCTCCTCCTCCTCCCTCCTCCTCCTCCTCCTCCTCCTCCTCCTCCTCGTCCTACTCCTACCTGTGGAAGTGGTGGTGGAGAATCGGCCCATCAAGGGCTGTCGCGCCAGCCCGCCCTCTTCCAGAGCGCTGGGCCTCCCAGGAGCGTGCGGCACGTCGAGGTGGCTGATGCCTCGGCGGTGCCCCGGCGGCGCAGCGCGACGCTCTGGCACTGTCCCACGCGGGCCCGATGCGGGAGGCCTCTGCAGATCCGCCCCGCGCCTGGGCACTGCCCGCAGCAGTGCTGAGGCCAAGGGTCTGGGCCTCCTAGATGGGGTCCTTCCTCCCTCCATCTCCTCCTCCTCCTCCTCCTCCTCCTCCTCCCTCCTCCCTCCCTCCTCCTCCTCCTCCTCCTCCTCCTCCTCCTCCTCCTCCTCCTCCTCCATCTCCTCCTTCTCCTCCTCCCTCCTCCTCCATCTCCTCCATCTCCTCCTCCTCCTCCTCGTCCTCCTCCTCCTCCTCCTGCTCTGGTTGCCTACGGCACGGGGGCAAACCGTGCAGGTCGGAGCAGATGGGGTCGGAGGATCGCGCCGCATCCCCGATGCAGGCACAAATGAACGTCGTTGCCCCGGAAATAATATGGGAAGGTATCGGCAGTGGAGGGGAAGACGAACATCCAGAAAATGCTGGAAGGAAATTGGCATCCTGGAGCTCGCGTCTGTTCATTTGTGTATCCCTGGGCCCCTTTGAGGTCTCGAGCAGAGGATCGACTGCAGAATTGACTTACCCCCGACGACTCTACGAAACATACGCAGAACGCTCCGCAGATCTGCGGAGCGTTTCACGTATCCCTCGCAGAGCCAACCGAACAGCAAGTTTGGGGCAAGTGAATTCTGCAGTCGATCCCGTTTCCGAAGGTCGATCCCCGACTCTTGATCCTTCGATCGACCTTCGACGGGGTATCGCGGAACGGGGCTGGGGGCCATATATCACATACCAATCTTAAGCATCACGAGCGGAGAGGAAGTGTCCAGGGAAACGCCGGGCCCGCCCTTTCGACCAGCCTCGGGGTGCGACGGGGAACAGTTATCGACAAAAAGAAAGGATGGAGGACGAGGAGGACGAGCAGGCGAAGGGGAAGGGCAGCCAAAAAGGGTGAGGAACAGGGGGAGAGCGAGGATCAACAGGTCAATCAGACGGAGGAGGAGGAGGAGGACCAGTGTAAACCCATGACTCATCAACGATGTTGGAATACACCCTCCTTCCAAACTCCCTCGTCATAGGCCCCTACAGGGGTTCATTTCAGCTGAAAGAATTGCCCCGTTGGGGGGCAGCCGTGCGAAAATCCCGAAGCGTGCCAAAACGCCATTTCCAGAAGTTCAACGCCACGGGCTTGCCTGTGTGTGAAGTCTTCGCGATTCTGAATCGTGCCAGAACGCCTTGGAACTTCAACACGGCGTATCACCGTAACTGTTGCGCCCTGACAGTCATGAGCAGGTCCAAAACACCATTTCTGGTACGTAGCCCAAGAGAACCGATGAGACCCTGGCAGAATTATAATATGAATGTGCGCGGCGCCAAAGCGAATACCACATTTTGAAAGGGGCCGACCTCAGTCCATGAAGCTCTTGCAAACTTTTAAGACAAATGTGCGGGTATGAAGACTATCGGGTATTTGCCAGGATCTCGTGGGAGGCCTCTCGGAGGCAGTTTGGAGGCCTCTTAGGGGACGTTGGGGGGCCTCTTGGGGCCTCCTTTGGGCCTCGGGGGGTCTGTCTCTAGTACATATGTATACATATGTCTGTCTGTCTGGATGCATGTATGCATGTATGTTTGCATGCATGTAGGTATGATCATGCGTATGTATGTGTATATGCGTGTATGTATGTATGCATGCATGTATGTATGTATGCATGTATATGTATGTGTGTCTGTATGGATGTATGTACGTATGTATGCGTGTACAGTATTTACGTGTGTATGTAGTTATGCATGTATGTGTGTATGTGTTCATGTGTGTATGTGTGTATGTATGCATGTTGAATGTATGTATGCATGCATGTATGTATGTATGCATGCATGCATGCTTGTATGTAGGCTTGAATGTATGTATGCATGCATGCATGTCTGTATGTATATATATAGGTGTGTGTATATGTCTGTATGTGTGCGTATGTGTGTACATATGTATGTATGTTTGCATGCGTGCGCGTATGTATGTATGCATGCATGCATGCATGTATAAATAGCTGTGCGTATTCAGGTGTGTACGTATGTATGTATATGCGTATGTGCATGCATGTACGCATGCATGCATGCATGTATTTATGTATGTATGTGTGTATGTAGGTTTCGATGCATGTATGTATGCATATCTGCATGCATGCCTTATGTATGCATGCATGCATGCAGGCATGCATGTATGTATGTGTGTATGTATGTATGTATGCATGCATGTATGTATGTATATGTATAATTATGTATGTCTGTATGTGTGTATGTACGTATGTATGGGTGTGTACAGTGTGTACGTGTATATGTATGTATGCATTTATGTGTGTATGTGTTCATGTGTGTATGTGTGTATGTATGCATGTGTGAATGTCTGTATGCATGCATGTATGTATGTATGCATTCATGCATGTGTGCATGGAGGCTTGACTGCATGTATGTATGCACGCATGCATGTCTGTATGCATATATATATATATATATATATATATATTATGTATATATATATATATATATATGTATGTGTGTATATGTCTGTATGTGTGCACATGTGTGTCCATATGTATGTATGTTTGCATGCATGCGCGTATGTATGTATGCATGCATGCATGCATACATGTATAACTAGTTGTGCGTATACAGGTGTGTACGTGTGTATGTATATGCGTGTGTGCATGCATGTACGCATGCATGCATGCAGGCATGCATGTATGTATGTGTGTATGTAGGTTTCGATGCATGCATGTATGCATATCTGCATGCATGCCTTGTGTATGCATGCATGCATGTATGTATGTATGTATGTGTGTATGTATGCATGCATGCATGTATGTATGTATGTATGTGCATATGTATGTATATGTGTGTATGTACGTATGTATGGGTGTGTACAGTGTGTACGCGTATATGTATGGATGCATGTATGTGTGTATGTGTTCATGTGTGTATGTGTGTATGTATGCATGTGTGAATGTATGTATGCATGCATGCATGTATGTATGCATGCATGCATGTGTGTATGTAGGCTTGAATGTATGCATGCATGCATGCATGTCTGTATACATGTATGTATGTATGCAGATGTGTATATATGTATGTATGTTTGCATGTATGCGCGTTTGTATGTATACGTGCATGTATGCATGCATGTATACATAGTTGTGCGTATTCAGGTGTGTACGTTTGTCTGTATATGCGTATGTGCATGCATGTACGCATGCATGCATGCATGCATACATGCATGTATGTATGTAGGTTTCGACGCAGGTATGTATGCATATCTGCATGTATGCCTTAGGTATGTACGTATGTATGCATGCATGCATGCATGTATGTATGAATGTACGTATGTATGTATGTATGTGTGTGTATGTATGTACGTAGGTAGGTAGGTAGGTAGGTAGGTATGTATGTATCTATGTATGTGTGCATGTATGTATGTACGTATGTATGTATAGTATATATATGTATGTATGCCTGTATGTGTGTATGTGTTTATGAATGTATGCATACATGTATGCACGTATGTATGTGTGTATGTATGTATGCATGTATGTACGTATGTATGCATGTATGTATGCAAACACGTATGGATGTTTGCTTGTTTGGTTGTATGAATGTGTATAGGTATGTATGTATGTATGCGTGTACATACAGTGAGACTGGCGGGCGCCCGCGCGCCAGCATGCTGCGCGTGGCCGTGGAGAAGGACTCGGGGCGCGCGGGCGCGGAGAACGAGGGCCTCATCCTGTACCTCGTCCGCCTGGCCATCCGTGTGGAGTCGTGCTCCTGGGCAGGGCTAGGTACGACTCTTTCGACTCGATTCGATTCTGTTTCAATCGATTCCGATTCCAATTCGACTCGACTTGGACTCTGATTGAGGCTCTGGTTTCTCGATGGAGGCCCTCCTAGCTTGCCGATTTCTGGCGACAGTGTCGGCGCAGACGACCCCGTGTCTGTGCGTCGCCCACGCGATCATCCCCGAGACACTGTCCGAAAAAATCCCCTCCCCCGAAACGTTAGGTTAGGGCCCACCACCTTGCCGCAGGCACTTACTTGGCGCGGAGTGTCCCCAGCTCCCTTCGAGCCCTCTCTATCCTCGCGTTTATGATTACACCAGAGAAAACCCCAATCAGTGGATGGTTTGATCGATAAGGAGATCGACCGGGAACCCGGAACCCACAGAAATCGGCCCGGAACCAACAACAAGGAACCGGGGAACCCGGAACCGGGAACCCAGGAACCCAGCCGGCCACCAAAATCGGCGGGACACTTTCGCCAAATCTTTCAATTTCCGCTAGGACCCCTTCAGTGCAAGCACTGATTGGGGAATTGCACCGTCAGAAGGTGCAAGTTTTGCGCTGGGCATCCGACCACAGACTTTCAGGATCTCTAGACGCTCCCGCGCGCTCCCCAGACCCCCGACGCCGCGATTTTGTTCACAACCTCGGCCCCCAGTGGTCTGCACCCCTTCCCCGGGACCGGTTTCTCATCCCGAGTTGTTTTTTGACAGGCCCGAGGCCCGGGAAGCGCCCCCGGATACCGAAACCAGCGAAAAACCTTCTGTCGTGAGTTCTTCACAGCGCGAGGGGGCCCGGGTCCCGAGGCTCCCCACGGCGTGAACGTCCCCTAGGCACCGGACGCGTCCTTGGGGGGCTTCAGCTGCCAACGGGCCTTCTGACGGTCTGTCGGCGGCGAGCGAGGAGGGGAAGTGAGAAGGAGAAGGCCTTCCCAGAAGGCGGCGGGACTTCTCAGAAGCCCTCGCGCCTTCCTAGAAGTTCTCTGTGTCCTCGGGGAAGGCTGAGAAACCTTCTCAGAAGGCCTGGGGACTTCCGATCCTTCTGATAAGACCTTCCCCCTTCTCACTTCCCCCAATCGCTCGCCGCCGACTTGCGGATCCCCGCGTTGTGATCGTCCCCGGGCGGAGGAGGAGGAGGAGGAGGAGGAGGAGGAGCAGGAGGAGGGGGAGGACGAGGAGGAGGAGGAGGAGGAGGACGAGGAGAACGAGGAGGAGGAGGACGAGGAGGAGGACGAGGAGGAGGAGGAGGAGGACGAGGAGGAGGACGAGGAGGAGGAGGAGAAGGGAAGGAGGGGAGGACGAGGAGGAGGAGGAGAGGAGGAAGGGGAGGGGGAGGACGAGGAGGAGGAGGAGAGGAAGGAGGAGGAGGAGGACGACGACGAGGAGGAGGAGGAGGAGGATGAGGAGGAGGAGGAGGGGGAGGGGGATGGGGGAGGGGGAGGGGCGGCTCAAGCTGCCAACGTGCCCTCGGACGCGTCTGGGGGTGGGCCCGTCCTGGAGGCACCACTTTCGGGGGGCCTGACGCGGCTTCAATGGAAGCCCCCGGGGCTGGCCCAGGAGGCCAACGCCCCGCCTCATCCCCTACCCGTCCTCCCTGACCACCACCTCCTCCTCCTCCTCCTCTTCCTCCTCTAGTTCCTGAACAGAAGCGGTCCGCTCCGCAAACCAGCCACTTCCTTTATATCGGGATTGAAAACTCACCAGGAGAGGGAGCCCCAGTAGCTTCCACTCTGGGGCTCACGTTCCCCTCGGAGCCTGTCGAGGGCCTTGCGCGCAAGCCTTGCCGCATCGCGGCTCTTCCTGGCCAGGGGAACACAACAGTCTGTCAGGAGATGGGCCTGTCGGCGCCCATAGGCCCCGCACGTCCTGCAGAAACCTATCGTGCCCCCCCCCCATCCCATAGGACCTCTTTCCAGAATCACCCATAGCCTATGGGATGGGTGGGACTGGGCAACCAACCTGGGGAGTCCTGGGCATCTCTTGGAAATGACCCTGGCCTTCGAAGCCCGTCGGACCCCGCAAACGGAACAGCCCCAAGCTCGACCGCGCCTGCACACCTGGTGGCCCATGTCGGGCCGAACCAAGAGGAGCGCTTCGGGATCCTGAGCCCGAGGACCAGAGAGGGGGCCCCTATCAGGCCACCCGAGACCAGCCATTCTTTTCAGAACTCCCCCATGATGGCCGCACCAGGCGACGGCCTGGGAGGCGGCGTCACTCCAGCGGACCTCGAGCTCCGCGAGCAGCTTCTGGCCTGAGTGGAGCCTCGCGCCCAGCCTCGCCTTCGCGTCCGCCTCGCGGTTCCCTGCGAATGCCTGCAGGGTGGTGCCGCGGCGGTTCGCCTCGGCCCAGCTGGTGTGGGCCTTCACCCACCGCAGGTCCACGAACTCGGCCCCGAGCTCTTCGACCTGGTGGAATACCTGCTTCCACAAGTCCGCATTCTTCTGCTCGTGCCCGCAGCAGTGGGAGGGCCCCCGCATGAAGTCGTTCCTGACCCCTTTGCAGTCCCCCACCTCCTGCAGCACTCGTTTCAGGGCGTGCAGCTCGGCGTAGCCTATCCTGAATCCATCCAGGCGTGCACCCGTACATGCCGCCGAGGACCGAGCCGACACCATCCACCACCACGGCCGACCACTCTGTGCGAGCGAGCCCGGGCACCTCGGGACACATCGTTGAGCCGTCGATGCAGATCACGCCCCGGAAGCACTCGTGGCACGCAGGCCCAGCCCTGTGGCAGTTCTCGCTCCTCCTCCTCCTCCTCCTCCTCGTCCTCGGCAGCGCCAGAGCCCTCCCCAGTGGAGACCACTCCTCAGGCCGCGGGCGGGGCCACGGAGGAGCCCCCCCCCCCCCTGAGGCCGCTGGCCTTCCCGTGCCTCGGGCGCGGGGGCCGCGGGGGTGGGTCGTGGCGGCTCCGACCGACACGCTCTTGCGTTCCTCTCATCTCATCCCATCTCATCTCATCCCATCTCATCTCATCTCATCCCATCCCATCTCATCTCATCTCATCCCATCCCATCTCATCTCATCTCATTTCTTCTCCTCCTGCATTTACGCAATATGAATACGTACTACTCTCCTTCGCCCAGCGCGGGCGTTTTCGGTCCTTCCACATCGGCCCCCAAGTCTAGAAAATGCCCTCTCGAAAAAACTATCGGAAGTGATTCCACATTCGATGCCGATTCGTTGGCTTTTCTGGGCCGCTGAAGCCCCCCCCCCCCCCACTTTGGGGTGTCGTCGTTTACGAAAAGTTTTAAGCGGGAGCCCCGTTTCTGGTTTGAGAAGGCGATGTTGAAAGCAGAGCCAGCGGGTGCTCTCTATCAGCCCCGCCTTGTGTGGAGCTTTTCGGGGAGTCCAAAGGAGCCAGATATGTCCCCGACTCCAGAGACCAACCCAGACCTCTCGAAGACGATCCATTTACCCTCCAAGGAACCCGGCTCCTTGCCATGACGTGCTGTGCGGTGTTGTGTTCTGCGCTGCTGTGCGATGCCACGCTTTGCGTTGCAATGCTTTTTGATGCAATGCTTCACTGCGCAATGCCACGCCATGCTATGGCATGCTACGCTCTGCCATGCTCATCCACGCCATGCCATGCCGTGCTCTACCATGCATCGCATACCCTCTCGCGACCATTGCCCTTCTCGACATCAGACTGTGCGAAGAGAGAGGATATGTACGTCATAGTAAGGGATGGGAGCGAGGGGTAGGACGTCAGATATGACGCGAGCTCACCTAGCTTGTCCCCCTTCCATCCCCCTCCCCCTTCCCCCCTTCCGACTCGCCGACGGTCGGCAACGTCGACGAGTGTCAAGTCGGACATGTCCCTCTCCAGGAGAAAAAAGAATAGCCAGGGGGCGATGTTTCTAATATGTCTGACTCTTTCTATATGTGTTGACTATTCTTTGTTTCTTCGAGTAGTTAAAACATAGTTTGGGGATGATTTTCGTGCTCTTTTGAATATTTTGGAGCATTGTCTGGATATTTTTTCTCTACGAAGATCCGCCTGTAGGAGGACATGCCCGACCTAAGACTCTGTCGGCGGCTGGCGAGGGGGGGAAGTGAGAAGGAGAAGGCCTCCTCAGAAAGCAGCGGGGCTTCTTGGAAACCCTCGCGCCTTCTGAGAAGTTCTTTTCTGCGCCTTCGGGAAGTGCTTCGAACACTCCTCAAAAGGCCGAGGGATTTCCGAGCCTTCTGAGAAGGCCCGCCCCTTCTCACTTCCCCCCACCAGTCGCTGCCAAGCTACAGTAGTCTACGGTAGGTTCGCGTCGTGTCGACCGGCGGCGACCCCGCCGCCAGCGTTCAAGATTGAACGATTCCCGCGGTGTCAGGAACCCACGCCAGGGTCGACACGACACGACACGAACCCGGGTTCCGCCTGGTTCTCCGAGTGGAGTCGTGCCCTTGGGCAGGGCTCGCTACGACTCCTGTGACTCGACTCGATTCGATTCGATTCGATCGCGATCCCGATTCGATTCGGCTTTGGATTCCGATTTAGACTCCGGTTTCTCAATGGAGGCCTTTCCAGCTTACCGCCGGGGGCCCCCAAACGGGGTGGTGACCACACCGTGTGGTGAGTCGGTGGGGATTCAGGGTCACCGCACGGCTTTGGGACTCGAGTCCCTCTCCGAAGACGTCTCGGGCGACAGGGGCCTCCGAGGTCCCAAAGCCGCGCGTTGACGCACCGTGCGGTGAGGTCTTGGGGGATTTCGAGGTCACCGCACGGTCTGTCACCGCACCGTTTCGGGACTCCAAAGTTTTCTTCCGCCGACTCCACTTCTTCTGGCTTGGTTGCCGACTTCCGCCGGTCCGATGCATTTCGATCGCCGGTCCGACTTGTCGATTCGAGTCTGGTCTCTCCCGGCGCGGGCGAAGGCCAGGCCTCCTTAGGTGCAGAAGTCCAGGTTTCCCAGATGGGTCCGAGTACATTGGAATCGGGCATGTCTCTCTGCAGGAGGAATATTCGAGAGTGGTTAACATGATACGGTCACGATTTTCTGTGCTCTTTTGATTGTTTTTGAGCAGTATTTCCTGTGTTTGAGATTTCTTCGAAAAACCGCTCATAGGAGGACATGCCTGACCTAGTCGAAGATGCGGCTCGATGCGCGCTACGGCCACGTTCGCCGCGGAATCTTTTCCTGAACGCGACCTGGCAGAGGTCCCGGGAAGCGGCATCGGCATCTTTTTCTGGGCGGGCGGCAGCGGGGGGGGCAATACACGTGGGGGGATCGAGGACTGCAAGTCATTCTGCCACCGAAGAGCGCTAAATGGCTTCTAAACTGCAACCGCGGGCCCCAGCAGGTGCACGTTTCTTCACCCCCCAGTGATTGTCCCCCGGTTAAGGAACGCCCGACTGAAGTTTTGACCTTCCATGCCCCCCGTTTGCCCAGGTACCTGCACATGCTCATAACGCAGGACCCGGGGGCGAGAAGTGCTGGAGAAAGGGGAGGACACGGGGTCTTATTGCTTCTATCTCCTACCAGCGATTACGATTCCGATCACGGTTACAGCTACTGATACTAGTGCTACTACTCCCACACCTGCTGGCACTTCCATTCACATTCCCATTGAATTTTCTACAACGATTATTTTTCTATTGCCGGTGCTACTATCATTTCAGTACCCGTATTCACACGACCACGGCGACGATGACGACTATTAGAACTACTACTACTACTACTACTGCTACTACTACTACTACTACTACTACTACTACTACTAATAATAATGATACTGTTATTACTGGTATCACTTATGCTACTACGACGACGACTACTACGAATACTATTACTACTACAACTACTCTACTCTACTCTACTACTACTACTACTGCTACTACTACGACTACTACTATTACGAGTGCTATTATTATTGTTTTTGATACTCGGACGACAACGACTATTACTACGAATACCACGGCAACGACTAAGACTACTTCTGCTACAACGACGATTCGTATTATTACTACGACTACTCTTACTACTACGATTCGTATTACTACTACTGCTACTACTACTACTACTACTACTACTACTACTACTACTACTACTATGACTACTACTGCTACTACTACTACTACTACTACAACGACGACTACTACTACTTCTACTTCTTTCACTTTCACTTTTACTACTACTACTACTACTACTACCACTACCACTACCACTACCACTACCACTACCACTACCACTACCATTACTACTACTACTACTACTACTACTACTACGACTACTACTACTACTACTACTACTACTACTACTACTACTGCTACTACTACTACTACTACTACTACTACTACTGCTACTGCTACTGCAACTACTACTACTACTACTGCTACTACCACTACCCCTATCTACTACTACTACTACTACCTAACTACTACTACTACTACTACTACGACGACGACGACGACGACGACACTACTAATAGTACTACTACTACTACTACTACTACTACTACTACTACTACTACTACTACTACTACTACTACTACTACGACGACTACTACTACTACTACTACTACGACTACGACTACGACTACGACGACGACGACGACGACGACTACTACTACTACTACTACTACGACGAGGACGCCGACGACGACGACGACTATTACTACTACTACTACTACTACTACTACTACTACTACTACTACTACTACTACTACTACTACTACTACTACTACTACTACTACTACTACTACTACTACTACTACTACTACTACTACTACTACTACTACTACTACTATC